TTTTATCGTAATTTAGTGAACAAAGGTGCAACAATGGCTCCTTTGATCATAAAGGTTGCAGACCTCTATGCTGGACTCTTCTGTGCTTTCAATGAGTGTGGTTAAAACAGAGCAAATGGTAAATGATAAATGGACTGTACTTACAGTATATAGCACCTTTCTATCTTATCAAGATACTCAAAGTGCTTTACACTACAATCTGTGTCCTCATTTACCCATTCAGACAGCACTCTACTAGATCTCTATAAAGAATAATCAGCGATTATCACATTCATACACACATCAGAGGCAATGAGGGGTTCAGCGTCTTGCCCAAGGACACTTTGGCATGTGACTGCTGGTGGACTCAAACCCCAACTCTCGCATTGGAGGACGACTGCTCTAACTAATCATCCACAGCTGCACATACCCGCCACTATTTTTTTTTTTTTTTTTTTACCAGACAAACTGAGATCATTTTATGTTGAGAAATGATAAAGGTATAGCCCTTTTGGTCAAACGAAATAAAGTTATCACAGTCTCATAGTATGTCCTGCTCAGAGTGTGCTTTGAAGGCCTCTGTGCTACTACCAGATCAAAACTCTTCTAAAAATTCATCCAGTGGGTTATGAGATATTTTGCTAACAGACAGGTTAGTCCTTCCATCAGTTAATGTTAAAGTTTCAAACAAAGTGCAATGTGTAACACCCAAAGTATGTGTTGTGGATGACTCTCAGCTACTACTGCACCAGATTATTGCACAACATCTGTAAAACTGACCTGTTTCATTAAGTTCTTTGGCAGTGGTGGCTATCGTGAACCAGGTAGAAAATATATCTGTATGGTAGAGGCACCTTTAATGCTTATTAAAATGCATCCAGTGATTTACGAGGTTTTTTTTAAAAAACAGACAGGAACACAAACACACACGTGCCTTTGTCTTATGAAGCAGGATTTAAATATGTAATTTGATAGTTAATAAATATTCTACACAGTATCTGAATGTAAATGTTTTAATTGTCATGGCTGTGATGACTTTATAAGTTTGCAATCTGAGCTCTTCTTACTTTTCAACCTTTAATGGCCTTTTAATTGCTTTTGGTTTTAAATTGTAAGTGATTTAATTTCTTGGAGGAAAAAAACTGAAGCATGATTTATGAAACAATTATGGGCATCGTAGAAGTGCTTTGTCATAAAAGACAGAATCCTTGCAGAGGTTATATATATATATATATATATATATATACATAATTATTATATTAATAATTTAAGGCAAAGTAGAAAATCTATACAGTAATGAATGAACATAACCTTTAACACTTGTACAAAGCTGTGTAATCTTTAAGTCAAATTAAATTGGAAACCTCTTTTCAGAGAGTGAAGAATTTCTCCTCTTTTGCTTCTTTATACTTGAAAATCCTGTTAATGGTTCTAAAGTCAGTAATTGATTTTAGCTTTCTAATCTTTATTATTTCTTCTCTGCACCTGGGGCCAATTTGCTCATCTTTTTTTCTTATCTGACCGTGAGTACACTTGCCTTTCCCGCGAGGAAGGGAGGAAACAGGATAATCCCCATCAACCAGACACTTTATAAACACACACACCTTACCCACACAAATGTGTGTCTTTCTATCTTTATGGGGACTTTGCATTGACTTCCATTCATTTCTTTAGCCTAACCCTGACCCTTACCCTAAACCTAACCATTACCAGTGCATATCTAACCCTAAACCTAACCATTACCAATACATATCTAACCCTAAACCTAACCATTACCAATACATATCTAACCCTAAACCTAACCATTACCATTACATATCTAACCCTAAACCTAACCATTACCAGTAGATATCTAACCCTAAACCTAACCATTACCATTACATATCTAACCCTAAACCTAACCATTACCAGTAGATATCTAACCCTAAACCTAACCCATCCTCAATTCACACCTTAGTCCTAAACCTGATCCCTAACCCTTAGGCCAACAATCTCAAATTTCTCCTGGAGGTTATATGAACAAGAAGCTCTGCTCTGCTCCCCCTCCCCTACCCGCTCCCTTCCCAAGGACATCTGTGGACCTGTATCAGAGCTGAGCCGGCTGATAGACACTGTGTCATCTCTTATCAGGACTATGGAACTTTCTGGCAGTGTCCACGGACAACTCGCCACCTTTGTCAGCCTCCTCATGCATAAATGCATTATGGTGTCATTAGTATGTTGCTGTTAATGTGCAATGTCTTTCTTTTTGCAACTTTCACACTGTGCCCCAGCCAGGACATAGTACGAGATACGATTTATTTTTACCGCCCATCCCCTTGTGTTTCTCTTTTCCTTATCTAGGTTTGGTTATCTGAAACAGGTCTCTCTTGTAAATAAATGAGTCCTCGAGGCTCGATGGAAACTAACCTGTATAACTAAAGGTTGAATGACTAATGAATAAAACCCTGACTCTGACTCTTACCCTAAATCTAACCATTACCAGTACATAACTAACTCTAATATAAACTCAGTTCACACCTTAGTCCTAAACCTAACCCCTAACTCAACTATGGCATTCCACTGTATTAGGATCAGTCTTTGGTCCCCAAAACTGATCCTAAAGGTCCTAAAACAGTAATAAAAACCAGGTACACACACAGAGAAGCTCCTGAGAGCCGACAGTACACCAGACAGCACTTTGAGCTGCCCGCCAGCAATGTAAATCAGACAGATGGAGGGGCAAAACCAGACAGCAAAACAGAAATCAAAAGCTATTTTAGTTCAGCGACAAAAGGCCCCAAGTGTTCTCCGCTAACTTAATATTATTATCCACCGGATGGCTGCTAAGGAGCGCCGAGATGGAATGCACAAAGATGGTGAGTCCAGACAGAACCAAATCAAAAAGGAAGTGAACTCAAAGAAACCCAGCTCCCCTCATACATGTCAATACACCAGGAAGGATGGACAATTTGTCATGGGTTAAAAAGCTGAAAATTTGCTTTCATCGTTTCACAAATCAAAAAAAGGGGGAAAAACTCAAAAGGTGCAAAATGAAAAAGGTCCAGAATGTTAAATCTGCCTCATTTGCATCGAAGCCTCCACCTCACTTTGACTTTTCTGATTAGAAAGAAGCTTGCACGCATACAGATTATCACTGGAAAGAGAAGATGTGGAATTTAAAGTGAGCTCAGAGTAGAAGCTACAAAGGCCATGTTGAAGTAATAATAAAAATGTGTGTTTTATCTGATCTTCACTGCATGCAGGCTGACCTCGTATAATGGGAGCAGCATAGCTCACTGAATGATAAAGAAGCAGCAACATCAAATATCTCTTTCATAAAAATAAAGACCAACATCAAACAGCTTTGAATGACACATAAAAAAATGAGCAAGTATTGAAAATGTAGTTTATAAATGTAAATATTCAAATAATTATTTCCTTTTTATTAGAAAACAGAGCAAATCATCGATTGATCTGGACTAAATAAACTAAATAATATTGTATATGATCTGATAAAACTACTTATATTTATTATTTATTAAGGTAATGCTTACATGAGATTATTTAAGTTGCATTATGGCCACTTTTGTGTTAGCTAAGGTCGGTTCGCTGTGGTGGCCATCTTGAATTGGAATCACTTCAGCTGGGAATGTACAGGTGAGTTCACGCGTTTGTTTCTGATTCTAGCTATCAAAAGTCACTCAGAGGACATATCCTATCCTATTCCATCCATCCATCCATCCATCCATCCATGCTTCTTCCTTTTCAGGTCGCAGGGGAAACTAGAAATGTATTCTCTTGTCTACATTCTAAGCAGCTTTCACGACAGTCTGTTGATCTGAAAGTGCTTGTTGAAGCCCTGGTATCGGTATGATCTGATTGGGTCATAAGAGAAATTCAAAACTTTTTTTTTCTTTTTTAATTTTCAAGTAAATTTAACGAAATCATAACATTTTATTTGCTTTTTTTTTTTTGTGGTATCCAATTAAATTAATTTATTCCAATTTGGGAACTGCAGTATTCTTTTTTTTTTATTATTATTTACATTTCTATATTCAAGATTGACACCAAGAGCTAATGCCAAAGTGTTCATCAAAAATATCAAGCAATGCGTCATCCTCAGCGTGTGTGTTGCGGTGATACTCAACTACTAAAATCTAGCTCAACATCAGCTGAATTAGCTGGATTATAACCATTTCTGTGTTTTTCAAGGTTAGCTGGCTGTAGTGACCAGCTTGAACTAGATTGTCTAAAAGATAACCAGTTGTTGATTTCCAAAGAACTCCTAACCGTTCCAATAAAATTCATTCAGCAATTCGTGAGATATTTTGCTAACAGACAATCAGAGTTGAGTGCTAATAGCACATTTTTATAGCATCTTATCAGTTAGCTCTGAAAGTATGTGTTTGGAATGACTCTCAGCTACTGCTATGACAAATTCTAGCTCAATAATTGATTGAAGTGTAGCCATATTTTAAATAAAATTATTATTATCTTTGCTAAGCCAAGGTCACTTAGCTGTGGAGGCCATCTTGGAAGGGGTTGATTTTAAAATGTAGTCAGCTGTAGTCGTGTGTGTGTGTGTGTGTGTGTGTGTATATATATATATATATATATATATATATATATATATAGATATATAGATAGATATATAGATATATAGATATATAGATAGATACATATATATATAGATAGATAGATAGATGATAGATAGATAGATAGATAGATAGATAGATAGATAGATAGATAGATAGATAGATAGATAGATAGATAGATAGATAGATAGATAGATAGATAGATAGATAGATAGATAGATAGATAGATAGATAGATAGATAGATAGATAGATAATAAAAAAACGTTTGTTTTTTTTTACTTGTAAACAGTGTTCTGCATCTGCAGCGTTCACGCGCAGTTAAGTAATTCAGTCCAGCACTGGGTGTAATTAGTCCTCTATGGCAGCAGGGGGCAGCATCTGATGCTAAATCATTATCATCCCTGTGCTTACGTAAACCCACATTCAATCAGCTTCTGTTAGAAATGACTCGAATCAAACTAATTATCTTCCAAACTCGGCGGGATGGAGAAGTTCTCACCTGGTACAGGTGTTTCCATGCAGAACGTGGTGTTTCCTTGAAATATCCTTAAGATACTCTCAGCTTTTACCCGAGAAGCATCTTTACTTTACTCCACCTTCACCTCACAGCCCACCTGCTCACATTACAGGTAGAACCCGAATCCAGAGGACTTCCCATAATTCATCACGGCAAATATGTGGGTGAACTTGCACCCGGCCACAGCTCAAGCCATTAGTGGGAAGTCAGTGATAAAAGAACTTCTTGGGGTCTTTAAATGACTTTATTGGCTTTTTTTTTATTATTATTATTCTACTCATTTTCAGTTCAGTAATTTTACCATTGCAGTTCTAACACTTCATAAAAAATCTCTTGGGTGGGGTGGCACAGAGGTTATAAAGTGGATGGCCTGTGATCGTAAGGTTGCTAGTTCAATTCCCCGGACAGACATCAAAATGTGGATGGGAATGGTGAAACACCCACACCTGCCTCCACCCTCATTTGCTCCATTCTCAGCCCCTATAACAAGTCCCCTAACCTCCACCATCTGCTCCCCCAGGTGCTCTGGCAGCTCCCTGCTCCACATGGAGGGCTGTGGTAGCTCGGTGGTCTGTGGTTGCTTCTGGAAGGGAATCCAACCAAGTCTTTGTGCAAATTAATTCATTTGCTGTGGTGACCGCTGAATAAAAGAGCAGCCAAAAGAAGAAAACAAAAAGAAAAGGCTCCTGAACTTAATGAATGATAATTTTGTTGACACATAACAGACAACTTAGCAATTTGAATGTGTTGCTTTAGCTATGAACTGGAGATGTGTATCACCTTGTCTGAGTGAAATGTCAAGCTGTTTTATCTTCAGGCATTTTTATTGCAGCAACTGCAAAAACTGGAGCAAATGTTTTCATTATGAGATGCTTAAATTATGAGCTGCATAAAGCAGAATACACAAACCTTTACAGTCAAAAGAGACATTCCTGCTCTTTTTCCAGTTAATAAAGTTTGGCCAGGAGCTGCAAAATGTACTTAAAAACTCAGTAAGTTTTACATAAATGCCACATAATAAAAAACATTTTGTGACGTTATGAAATTAAAGATCTTTTATAAATGTATGGCAGTAATTATTTTTACATATTACCCTAAACACTTAGCTCATAAAAGAAAAAAAAAAAAACAATCACTGAACCATTCAGGCTAATGTGACTTTTTTTATTTTTTTTATGGGAAACTAATACAAGTAACCCCCCCCCCCCCTCCCTTGAAATAGCAGAAAATGAGTCCAGTTTGTTGAATATTTAATTGTGACATTATCAATTTCTTCTCATAAAGACTCTAATCTTCATTAACTCCAGCTGTTCTCTTTCTTCACATTATCAAATTGCCATGTATTTCTGTCGGTTTTCTATCGTAGTTATAAATTTAAATATTATTTCCATGTGAGTTTGAGCCAACATTCCAGAGGGACCAATTATTGCTCCAAAGACATAGCTTACTTGTCGAAATAAACATTTTGAATTAATGTTTCCCACGTTATTTGTTGTGGGTTCATACAACCCTGGTTCAGATTATATTCATACCAAAACAACACAATGATCGCTATAAATAAAATGTACCTTGGGGTAGTGATTTTTTTTAATCCTTCAGTTTTTAAAAACTGATTGATCACTGACAATGGATGAAAAATGCCATTGAAAGTAACAAAGCAAGAAAAGACACGCTGTCATTTATGTGAACTTTCTTCACAGAAGCTTTGCGTCCCTGAAATTGCCTCAATAGGCTTATATGGCTGTGTGCATTCTGAGGACTTGAAAGACTTTAAAAGTGGAAAGAACGGAGGAGGACTGAGTTTCCCTGGAGCGAGGACTTAGTGAGATGCTGTTGATATGAAGCAGGTACGAAGAACGAACAGCATGCAGGAGATCTGATTGCTGCACGGCATGGAAACATCTCACTACGCATCTGTTATTGTCTGTCAACAGATGGGACTGAGGAGAGGGGTCAGACTCGCAGCACAGCAGGAGGAGCCCATCATGTGTTTTCATTGTCTCAATGACTTGGCAGCCAAATGCCTGATGAACAAACGATTCATCAGCCAAACGGAAGGCTCTGATTGTGGATTTGGACGTGCATCATGTGGAATTTGATTGTATATCTTTGCATCAGTAGCAGAATTTGTCTTTGTTGTTGTCTTTCACTTTAACGTAGATTATTTGTATCCAACAGGGTGATGGCAGCCTTTATATTTAAAGAGGAGTCATGTGTGTTTACATTCTCAGTGCACTGTGGGAAAAAAAATCCTCTCCTTAAGCAACAGAGTGACTGAGATGTCAGTGTGAAGGATGGGCTAAAATATGAGCGCCTCTCCACAGGCAGGTTTATGTGGACCATAAAATTCACCACTCACATCTGTTTAATATTTAATTGTCAGCAGCACTTCAAGTCACTAAATGTGCCGTTTTAGAAATTGTGAAAAAGTATATATTTTTTTTTAATTGGCTGAAAAGTTGTAATTGTAATGTATGATATTGTGCTAAGAGTTATTTATATAAAAATAAAAATAGAAACCACTTCCAATCATTTGGAGATGTCATACCTGTGAATACCCACCTCCCCAAGCTTCAGGAGACTGTTCTCCCAGACTTGGTTTTATATGATGCAGATGTTGATCCTCATTGGGAAGATGAACTTGGGAGACGCCATCTGGAAGATCAATGTCTTTTTTTTTTCTTGCATATACATTTTGCTAAAGCTGTTTTCACACACGTACAAGCAGGTGAGAATCAAAATACCAGCAGAATTTGCTTCAGGCATTTTGTCGACATCTTGCCAGTTCGCTGGTAAAATGTACAGAAAATCAGTGGTACAGTGGTTTTAATGCAGCCTCACTTTGTGTCCTTCCTCCTGGGTGCTGTAGATCGATGGTCCCCCACAACCCCTCCTGCAACAGAAGCCCCTCACTTTGAAGTGCATGTATGAATAGCAGCTGCAGGAACACTCTGGACCTGATCGTGGCGCAGAGTCTGCTGAACATCTCCAGCTGTGAAGTTTGAAAATAGTGATAAATATGAATGAATAGATGATGGCAGAGGTATTCCTGTCGCTATTGCTGGAGGATACTCCAGAGACATCGACAAACTGGATCTCTGACACTCATCGTCCACAGAGCAGCTACCAAAGTGAAACAGCTTGTCACCTTTTCACCACTAAAATGATTTCTTTGATTGACTGATTCATGCATTTTATGTTTCAGGTTTGGAGTGTGAAATGTGAAACTGTCTTTTTTTTTTTTTTATCAAGAGGACCCTTGGATGATTGTATTGTTTTGGTTGTATTGTTTAGGAGTCAGTGTTGTGTATTATACTTGACTGTAAAAAAGTTCAATAGTTTAACCTTAATTTAAATAGTACACTAGGGCAGAAACACACAATCACTGGCTATTTTATTTGGTGCACCTTGATATATCAGGTTGAACCGCTTTTTGCCTTCAGAACTGTTTTTATTATTTGTGGCCTGATTCAACAAGGTGTTGGAAACATTCCTCAGAGATTTGGGGTTTTACTGATATGATAGCGTCATGCAGTTGCTGCAGATTTGTCAACTGCACATCCATCCATTAGCTTACCCACTTCTTCCTTGTTGGGTTGCGGGTATCACTGGTGCCCATGTCCAGCCATCACTGTGCGAGAGGTGGGAGGAAACCAGAGTACCCAGAGAAAACCCACGCATGCACGGAGAGAACATGCAAACTCCACCCAGAGATGCTTCCGGGTCGGGATTTGAACTGGGGCAACCTGTTCGCTGAGAGGCAGCAGCTCTACCAACTGTGCCAACTCAACTGCACATTCATGATGCAAATCTCTTGAGATCTGGTGACTGTGGAGGCCACTGGTGTTCAGGAAACTGGAACCAGAACCAGGCAAGACCACATGGTTTGGTTTTCAGTACCTAAAACGATTCCCTGCTTCAAGGTTGGAGGCGTTGTGCTTCCAGTGTTGGTATTCTGCATACCTTATTGACATTTTTCCTTGTTCATACCAGTCTCTGTAAAGGGGAGTGGTGGCACAGAGGTTAGAGAAGGTGGGCCTGTGATCGGAAGATCGCCAGTTCAAGCCCCGGTACCGATAACATCAAAAATGCGGGTGGGGTAGGTGAAGCACCCACACCTGCCCCCACCCTCATTCGTCCCACTCTAGGCCCTTGAGCAAGGCCCTTAACCCCCACCATCTGCTCCTCCGGGTGTCCTAGATAGCAGCTCCCTGCTCCACACAGAGGGCTGTGGTAGCTCGGTGGTTGCGTCAGGAAGGCATAAAAATAACTGCCAAGTCTTCGTGTGACTTAGTTCGCTGTGGCGACCCCTGAAGAAGGGAGCAGCCGAAAGAATAATAATAATAATTTTTTAAATATTATATCACAGGTTGTGTTTTGGAAACTTGACAGTAGTGACACTAATGCCAATATTTCTATGAGGGGAAACAGATTTTTAACATCTGGAAGGCAATGTGAGCGTTTCAAAGACAATTTGTTTTCCTTCATATTAAAGTTTGATAATAATCTGAGTTTCTCTTCTTTGCTTTGCAGCTATTTCCAAACCGTACCATTGTTAGTAGGTGAGATAAGATGGTTTAAATAGTTAGTGCATATTGTTTGACTTGCATTGTTCCTGTGTGTGAGTGAAACATCTCTTTATGGATGTCACAAATGATCCAGAATTAGATTTTGTGCCAATTTTTGTCAGTCTGCCTGCTCTTTTTTT